ATGCTTTCTACCTTGGTCCTCGGAATGGGGAATCCCGGGGAAGGGGCTCTCCAGAGGCTCTGCAGGGACCCAAAGTGGAGCTTGGAGAAAGAGCATCCCAGCTGAGATGCCAGAAGGTCCTAAGCCGTCTCGCCCAGACGCCGCCTGAGGCAGACAGACAGGCACACAAGCGCAGGCAGGCAGGCAGGCAGGCAGGCAGACAACCACGACCACAGCATCCCTTTCTTCCTTCAGCTGCAGGTCAAAGAAAAGCAGATCTAAATGCAGGCTCTCGTCTCACTCTACTGCAAGCAGGAAGGGCCCTTGGGGAGGAAAATAAGGTGGGAGGGCGGAATGTGGCCCAACGAAAGGCAAAACTACCTGGAATGTCTTGAAGCTGCTTTGGACCTCAGGGAAAATAGCCTCACAGAGGTGCACAGTCGCTTCTGCTTCAATGCCCAGTGCCCTACTCCCTTTGGGGTGCAGCTTCTGGCTTCAGAAATCTCCCTCCTACCATTCGCTCTCTGGAATGTCTGCTGGTTGTGCAAGCACAACCAGTAAGAGGTGTGGAGGCCTTACTGGGAATGTTTTCTGCCTCACAGCCAGCCCCACTCCTGCCCTCCACGCAACATCTCCGCCTTTGAAAAGGAAGCAATAACACAACGTGACACCTTTGGAGCCAGCCAGAAGCCTGCTGAGGCAGAGGAGCTGCTTGCAGCCCAGCTCCTGGATCCAGGTAGCAGCTCTTGGAGCAGGAGCCCATCAGAGGCCAGTCCCTCTTTGGCTGTCCCAGGCCAACTGCCGCCGAAGGGGAAAGCAGAGCTTTCTGGAGATGAGGAGGAGGACGAGGAGGAGCTTGGCGTGAGAGAGGAGGAGGAGGAGGAGCAAAAGGCCCGGTTGTTGCTCTGTCTTCTTCAACCCTCCTAGTAGCTGGTGGAACCAACTGTCTCTCCCAAAAATGCCTCTGCTCCCCTTATAACAATGCAAGGCGGTCACAACGGCGTGTCCGAAGACGAGGTTGGAAATAGCTGGTTTACAGAGCGCACACCACGTGTTGCAATTCCGTTGGAGGTGATCCAGGCTCGGCCATGCAGAAGCCTGGGAAGAAAAGAAAACACGGGGAGTAACTAAAGGGGAGGAGGATGTCAAAACACAAAGGCACCAGTTGGCTTGCTGGAGCTGCAGCCAAGAGGGAAATCCCCCAGGCGGTTCCTGCAACCTGCCCAGAACAACTCCGGCATTCTTAAGCAATTTGGAAAATAAATGGCAGGATTACCTGGGGCCTTTCATCCTTCCTCGTTTGGGGATCTGCCCTGCGGACAGGAAGAGCTGCAAAAAAAGGGAAGCGGTAAGGAAAACAGTGAGGGGGAAACAGGACCGCAGCTCTGTCCCGACTCTCAGCCAGGCTGGGTTGGAGTCAACTGGAGCAGGGATCCCCAACCTTTTTGACGCCGCGGCCCGGTACCGGCATCAACTGGGCGCCGCCATCTTTTTTTGGTAAAAAAGTGCTTCCGGTGAGCTTTTCCGGGTAGAAAGCTCACCGGAAGCACTTTTTCGTCAAAAAAAGATGGCGGCGCCCAGTAACCAGCGGCCCGGTAAGAGTTGTTCCGCGGACCGGTATCGGTCCGCGGACCGGCGGTTGGGGACCCCTGAACTGGAGGGCCGCTGAGGTGGCTTAAGGCTGGACTCGGAGCATGGAGGCCCTGCGTTCATTCCCTCTCCGTCATGGAGACTCCACCTCTGTCAGCCCAACCCCCCCCCCCCCCCCCCGGCAGCACAGCACCCACAATAGGCCCAATGCTGGAAAACTCTCCCCAAGACTTCAGGGTCTTTGCAGTGGCCAGAACGCCGTGAGAGACGGGACGCTACAAGCCTCGTGAGACTCAGCCATCCCGACTGACTATCCGACAAAAGGAGGATTTTACAGCTCATGAGGAAAATAGTGCTGACCCTCAGCCTGAGGTGCCAACTTCAGTTGAAACCCTTCTCCCGCACAGGGGTGAAGGGTTGGGCTGCCCAGCGCAGGAAATCAGAGGCCAGAGAGTTCAAATGAACTCAGCTTTCTTGCATGCTGGCAGCTCTACAAGAATCTAGCAATCCAAGCAAAGTGGCGGTGGATCAGGGTCCACGGAACTCAAGATGGACTGGACTTCGATCTTTTGTGGGCACGGAGGGACTCGAGGCTGGTAAAGCCCTTGACCCCTCCCTCGGGCTCAGCCTGGTCCTCTCCCCCAGCAGTCAGCAAGACAAAAGGAACCCCGGAAAGCTCTGCTACTGCCAGCCAAGCCACCCAGGAGGCCCTCGGGGGCTGGTAGGACATTTTATGGGGAAGAATTTGGCAGGCCCTTTGTCTTTTATTTTTGGGTACTAGTAATTTTATTCCCAAGGTCCCTAATAGCTGAAGACCAATAGCTGAAGCGGTTTCCAAACATGATTCGGACAGCAAGCATGCGGACCCAGTGTGATTTGAGCAAGATTCCCTCATCTCCCAGAGTTGTAAACCCACCGGAGACCCCCGTCTTGCAGTCTCCTTGCTAGGAGCAACTGTCCAGAGCAGCTGTGGGCAATCTCAAGTTCTCTCCTTTGTCCAGAGAGGAATTATGAAGAGCCGGTCCACTCGCCGGCTCTCCATTCCACTGCGGTCATCGGCTCCACTCTCAGCTGAGCCACCTTCAGTTCACCATCTCTTCCCCAGAAATCTCACCAAAAATCTGCCAGTCTTTTCAACTCTCAGGCATCTGAAAAGCACCTCTCTATGCAGAGGGGGATGCATTTGGGGTAAATGTCCCAAATATCCACGGGCAAAATCAGAAGACTGCATAACTCACCAGCTTTTCAGAAGGCCAACCTTACAGTATGTCTACAGGCAAACCCTTCCTGCTCTTACCTTCCTCTCCTGAAGGAAGCCGTCTCGAAGAACTTTGCTCTGGACGCCACCCTGAAAAGCAACCAGCACAAACAGCCTCTTTGTTTTGTGGTAGCAACACCGTTGCTCAGTCAAAAAGAGTCCAAGATCAGTGGAGCAAATCCCCATGAACAGTGCGGGGGCCGGATAGATAGATATGAGAGAACACATGTACGGTCCAGGTTTCTAGTCCTTTATGACGGCCGAATTCTGTTTTAAAGGATAAAGGGCAGTTGGACAAGTTCTCAGAAGCTATTCTATATAACCAGGGTCAAAGATATACAAAACTCATGTAAGTCTCCACTATAATAGAGAAACAGCTGACAGAAATATGAGAGCCGGAGAGAACCAGGTCAAGCCTATCTTCAGCCTTTGGTGACCTTGTTTCTTGCAAGGTTAAATTAAGGCTTCCCTGTAAGTACCTCGAACTCCTCAGGCAGGAGAGGAAAGAGAGAAAGGCCCAGTGGTTCACTGCTGGCTTAGCTGTAAAAAAAGTCTACTCTCCTTGGTGCAGAACGTGGACTGGTAAGGTTCAAAGTCAGTGAGTGTGTGTGTGTGTGTGTGTGTGTGTGTGTGTGTGTACGTGACAGTCAGAAGGATGTGCCCAGGTCTCCTGACGCTTCCCTCTGCCCTCAGGCGGACCCACCCAGAGGGCCTGCCCCTGTCAGGGGGACTTCCCCAGAGCTCAGGAGAAAGTTCCCTGTTCAGACATGCTATTTTCTGGGTGAAAACAGAGGAATTTGGGGGAGAACAGTGGAGAATGAGCAACCTAGGCCTGGCCCCCTTAGGAGGGCTTAGCAGGGGCTCCACAGGCATTGGGGCTCTTTCTCGGCAGAGGACCCCACACTCTTCGCTTCGGAGCAAATATTCTTCCTGGAAAGGTGCCCCCTCCTTGGCTCCAAATCCCCCAGCCAAACAGCAACTCAAATTGGGGAGGGGGACCGTCCAGCCCAGCTGCTAGGTCTGCTCTGCCACTACTCACACGGAGGAGGGGGCTTCCGCCGCTGTTCCCGCCACCAGGTCCATCTTGGCCTCCACCTTCTGTGGGCCAGGAGCCTTGCAGGGGGGGTCTGGGGGTCGCATGGGAGGCCGCGTGATGACCGGTTTCTCTCCAGGGAGCCGAGCTTTAGGGAAGCTCTCGTAGTCACCTGAGGTGGAAAAAAAAATATTAGCTGGAATGCAGGAATGGAACGGAAGAAAAGGCGCAGATGCCCACAAGGGAGCAGCCACCAATAGTTTCTGAAAAAGAGGCATCACCCAGCATTCTCGCGACAGGAAGAAAAGTGTCCCAGACTTTCCCCTAAGGAAAAAAAAAAGGCGAATATTGGAGATGAGGAGACTCAATTCTTAGGGGGAACAGAGACGATAGGCTGCAGACCAGGCAGTCAATCTTGGGAGGTATATTGTCTCCTTGGAGCAAAAATCAAAGATGTAACTGAGAACCTTCCTAAAATAATCAGACCCAAGGATTACTACTCCTTTATTCTCTTAAAGGCGGGGATCAATGACACAACAAGGAATCTGAAAACAATAACAAGAGATTTCAAACAGCCAAGGAAGAAGGTTAAAGAATTAGGAGCTCAAGTGGTCTTTTCATCTCTATTTCCAACAAAAGGCCAACATCCAAAGAGGGAGGCAAAGGATTTTAGAAATGAACCACTGGCTTAAAAACAGCTGTGGTCAAAAAAACCTTCAGTTTCCTAGACCAGTGGTCACCAACCAGTGGGCCGGGGAGCACTGGTGGTCCGCGAGAAAATGTTGGTGGTCTGCATAGAAATGTCACCCCTAAAGCACTCCCCAAAATTAATCCAGGCTGCACGGGAACTCAAGGCCCATGGGAACACAAGCCCCACAGGGCCCATGGGAACACAAGGCTTGCGTCATTTGCACTGTGAACAACACGAGGTAGTGAGGGGAGGGGGGAAAGGGTGGAGGTGGGGAACTCGCCCCACTCGCCTGGCCTGGCCACCGGGCTTCTTCTTTCCGCTTCTTTCTTCTTCTGTTTTTGGCTGCACGCAAGGAAAGCAGCAAAAGTCTTTATTTCTCTCCCCCAAACTCCACC